ATAGGATAGGATAGGATAGGATAGGATAGGATAGGATAGGATAGGATAGGATAGAATAGAATAGAATAGAATAGAATAGAATAGAATAGAAAATACAGAGTACAGAGAAAAGAATGGAACAGAACAGAACAGAATAGGAAAAAAAAACCAGAATATAGAGAACAAAACAGAATAGAATAGAAAATACAGAATACAGGGAAAAGAATGGAATAGAACAGAACAGAATACAATAGAATTCTTTATTGGCCAATTGTACTTGCACAAGGAATTTGTCTTCAGTGCAGAAGCTCTCAGTGTACATACAAACAACAAAGAAATACGATCATAAGATACCAATAATAGAAGGCAATGGGAAAGGTGGGAAGGATAATAGTAACACAACCCTACTACATAGTTAGTAAATATCCTAAGACGGTGCTGTGAGAATTCGGTGTTTAGCAGAGTGACGGCATGAGGGAAAAATTGACTCTGTCTAACCTGCAAAATTATTATATAATTATTAATTATCAATTAATAAATGAATAATTCGATTCATCCTAAGAATGAAGGGATTTTTCCCTCCATTGTTAACAGGTCATATTGCCATATTTTTTTTTCCTTCCTCCAATTTAAAATTGAACTGAATTGAATTGAATATTTTATTTGGTCAAGCGTGATTAGACACCCGAGGAATTTGTCTCAGGTACAAAAGTGTATGTGCAAAGTATCATCATCATCAAAAGGGAGAGTAACAAAAGATGACAAGAAGGACAAAAAATAATATTACATCCACACTCCTTGGGTGAATATATTTTAGATATACTTTATATACTTTAGAAAGAACTGAGAGAACTAAGTATTGAGCAGAGTGAGGGCAGGAGGGGAAAAAATTGTCCCCGTGTCTAGTTGTTTTGGCATTCCATGCCCTATAGCACCATCTTGAGGGGAGAAGTTGAAACATTTTATGTCCAGGGATCTACAAATATCTTCTCAGCCCTCCTTCTGACCCATGAGATATAAATACAGATCTTCCACAAAAGCCAGGTTGGTTGTAATAGTTCTTTCTGCAGTCTTGACTATCCGTTTGTCTGTACCTGTCCTGTTTGGTTGACGGAAAGCTATATCCGAGGGGATGGTAGTGAAGACCATCTGGAGATGACTCTCTTTGTGAGATTTCAGCTCAGCTCTAAATGCCTGAGATGCTGAAATCACCGGCGTTCTGGTTCGAAAATAATCTTAGGATTTGTAATTTTTCATACTTGAGCATTCCGTAGGATAATCCATCCATTGGGAGGTGCATTCCCAATATCAAATGCCGCTTTGCTATTTAAGCGCTGCAGTTCAGCGTTTCCCACCTTGGCAGCTTGAATGTGGGTGGACTTCAACTCCCAAAATTCCCCAGCCTGGCTGGGGAATTCTGGGAGTTGAAGTCCATCCATCTTCAAGCTGCTAATATAGAGAAACACTACTATAGTGCTTCCCAAAACCCATACTGAAGGTATTGTGCAGGGGGGAAAAACCCTTAGAGAAATGAATTCTTCATACCTTCTTAGAAGTTCTACCATCACCATTTCTTGGTCTGATTGCCAGCGTAGATGGAAATAGGAGATCAGGTTCACCAATGGATGGATCATCTCTGGTTGAATATGTTAGTAGATCTGAGAAATATACTCAAAATGTCCTCTTCACACAGCATCTGTCTCTCAGTACTGGTGGGATAGCCATGACCAAATGCCTTAAAAATCCAAAGCCTGAAGCACCCACGCTTCCAGAGAGAAGTTCTCTGAGGATGGACTCCAGTACGAGTCTGAAATCTCACTCTGATCCCGTTGACCGATCCAGATTGGATTTATGGAGATCCTTGTCTTCCTGTCTTCCTCAACATTTTTTAACGAATGGCTCTGAAGGAAAAGACTTCTCTGCCTTAAGATGAGGAGGATTAAAAAGAGTTGATCGCGGGATGTGTCAATAAGGGTGTGTCAATTTCAGGGATGAATCCGCTGCCTTTCTGATTTTTCTTCTCAGAACTTCGTCCAGGTGATTAGCAACATCTTGACCGAAGACAACCGAGACAAATGGGAAGAGGCTCAGCTGGTATGTGAATCTTTCAGCTTCCCGTCATAACTTCTTCTGGAAATTGCTTGGAGGGAGAATGGCAATTTTCTCAAGAGTTTATAATACAATTAGTCCTTGACTTATGACCGGTTGCTTAATAGTCATAAGTCAAGGACTCTCTGCATAATAAACTATGTAACAATATTTGCTTAGCTACTGTTGGAAGTTTTGATGGATCTACCTGAGGGGTATTTACAATCCAAATTTGAAGTTATGATGGTTGCGTGCCCCCTCCACGATCATGTGACCACATCAAGGGTTAGAATCCTATGGGAAGAGGACTCACAATCACCTGGTGATTGGCCCAAAATCACCCAGCTGGTTTTCATGTCTAAATCAGGACTAGAATTCACCTGTTCTCTTGGTAATTGGCCCCAAATCGTTCAGTTGGCTTTTATGACTCACTGCCTCCTAGTGATTAACCCAGAGTCACATAGCCGCCTTTCATGTGTAAGATGGGACTAGAACTCACTGTCTCCTGGTGATTGACCCAGTCACCCAGCCTGCTTTCATGTCTAAATCAGGATTAGAAATCACCCATTCTCCTGATGATTGGCCCCAAATCCCCCAGTTGGCTTTCACGACTAAGGTGGGACTAGAACTCACCATTTCCTGGTTTCTATGCCAGCACCTTCCTCGCTACATCAAACTGGCTTTGTGCTGCAAAGAAGCCAGAGACATTGAGAACAAATAAATAAGAAACTAAGCTTTTGCGCAAAAATGTTTGCTATAGGCTTCCTTTCTGATGTAAGAGGAGAAAAAAAGCAATAACTGCAAAAAAAATTGTGCCGCCTGTTCAAAAGCCAAGAATTTAGACAAGAAGACGAAGTGACACTTGGAAGCTTAGTTCAATATTATCAAAGGTGCCTTGATGAACAGCGACAAATCTTTTTTAGCAGATTTTCAAACGAAACTTTACAACACTGAGATGCGGGAACCGAGGAAGAAGCTGTCTAATCCCATTTTTTTAAGGAAACGTTTTTGTCTGAGCCACGGTGGCATTTTTCTGCGTGTATCATCCCAGGGGTGCTCTAGGGCAAAGATGTGAGAATCAACCAAGATAAAATCTTCAATTAAATTATTAACACAACATATTTAATCAGGTCAATGGAAGCTCCCCAGAGCCGACAGTTCGGTGCGGTGGAGCAGAGCAGAAAACAAGTTAATTCTGTATCCATAATTAACAAAGGGAATTGAAAAAAAAGGACCAAGGCATAAACAGCCTGAAGTTGAGATCTTCTAATCTACTAGTCAACACCAGGATGGGACATTCCCATAGGGATCTTAAGCCAGTTGATAGAGCCAAATTTTGAAGCTCTTTTGGAAGGCAAGGGGACAACTCACCACAGCTAACTCACTGCATATATATTCATTTTTGTCATTCACATTTGGTTTTCTCCTTCCTTTTGCCTTGTTTATTTAATGAATCTATTCTGCATAACTGTTGTGGCCTGTTGGCTGCTGGCCCCTGCAACAGCTGAATCAGAGGAGCAGAAGGCATGGGAGTTAGAGTTAGCATCAGGGCAACCTAAGAGCTCTGAGAAGGAAGAGGCAATGGAGCTGGCAGAGAGAGAGAGAGAGAGAAAGGTGGAGCCTGGGCTGTCTGACAGCCCTCGGAGGGAGAGTCAACAGCCATCAGGTCTGGAAGTGGCTGATGAAGAGGAGGAACAGCTGGGTCCAGTGCCTGAAGCACAGAAGGCAGAGGAGAGGAGAACAGTGGAAATCTATGGGCCGGTCCTTGGGACAGAAGAGCCACCACTGCTAACGAAGCCCCCAGGCTAGCTCTGGGGATAAAAGGCAGGGGACGGAGATGAATAGGTGTGGCAGACAACTATTCATCTTCTGGATAGTTGGACTTGGTTAGTCTGCAAGAGAAACTTTTTTGCTGGGGCTGCTGGCGCTCCTAATAAAGGAATCTTTTGAGTTCACGTCAGAGAGTTTGTTGTGTTTGGGGAGCTAGGTCAGAACAGTAACTCTTATCCCGTGGTGAGCTGTCCTGCAGCAAGTTGGTTGTGGTGAATTGGCCACGGTGAGTTATCCTAGACTCCTTTGGGAAGGTCAAGAGGTCGGGGCAGCCATCAAAACTTTGGAACTGGGTTGTAAGTTCCTCTGAAGAGGTGCATTATGACTTGAAAGCAAATGGTCATAGGTTGAGGATTACCTGTGCAGTAATCAGATCTTCAACCCATTAAGTGAAAGAGATCAGACACGTCTCTTTGTAATGCTGCAATCTCAGCCTTTTTAGCTACTGTGAAGGCATGGAAAATCCATCTTCCAATTTTGCCATGTGCCATGTGTGTGTGGAAATTGTACAAGCACTTTTATTTCCCTGTGTTTTGCCAGTCTATGTGTGGAGATTGACTTTGGCCTTGTTAGAAATTACGTATGTATGTATGTGTATATAGCAAACAAAGAGCACAATCACCATGTGGTTTACTGCTTAACGTCATATGTATGTGCATACCAGTGGCCAAGCCTCTGAATTTTAATCACATAACTACAGGGATGCTGCAACCGTCATTAAATGTGAAAAATGCTCCTAAGTCACTTTTTTGGCAGCGCCCTTTGATCGGTCAATAAATAAATGGTTGTAAGTCAAGGACTACCTATATGTCCTTGCGTCCCACCTGCCCTGTTTCACTGAGGTCCTGCTCCCATGTTGCAGATGGGGAACAACATCAAAGAACTTTTCCGACTTCTGGAAGACTTCATTGACGTGGTCGGCTTTCGCATGAAAGATTTTCAGGATTCTTATCAAGTGACTGACAACTTGGGTGAGTACGTTGGACCGATCCAAGTGTCTCGCCCCACCACCCATTGATTTCTAAGTGGTAGGATCCAAATACTGGGATAATCGATCCATTCCCTCCATCCAGAGTTAGTTTTCCGATGAAAGATTGCTGAGCTTCTCAGAAACAGGGCAAGTTAAGGTCAAACCACAATGAGCGTTTTGACCCATTTTGTGTTTATGGGAAGAGATGCCCAGCGGGTTTGATTTATGCCTCTCCTGGCAGTTTACACTAAAAAAAACACACACCCCACCATTAAATGTAATATAATATAACGATGTGGATGGGCACGCAAAGTGCAATGTTAAAACCCACATCGTAATATAAGAATGGCTCGCAAGGGTTGAATTGCAGCCTGCACCAATCTGCGATTCCCACTGGCCGAGAATGAAATTGTATAGGATGCATTACAAAAATGCAGAATGGGGAAACAGCTATTCGGGTGCATCTGAATAATTCTTCAGTGTTTGGGGTGTAGATGGATGGTGTGGGGTGGATTCCTCCCTCCTTAATCATGATTAACTATTGAGGGATTTCTGGACAGTGGAATTGTAGTTTTTTGCATATTAATGATCAGAATGAAACAAGTTGCTTCGACTGTTCATTATGTGCTATGATAATTGGGTTTGAATTTTCTTTTCTTTTCTTTTCTTTCTTTCTTTCTTTCTTTCTTTCTTTCTTTCTTTCTTTCTTTCTTTCTTTCTTTCTTTCTTTCTTTCTCTCTCTCTCTCTCTCTCTTTCTTTCTTTCTTCCTTTCTTTCCTTCCTTCCTTCCTTCCTTCAATTTTATCTCCTTTTTCCTATCCTTCCATTCTCTCTTTCTCCTTCCCTTTCCTTCCCACTTTCTTTCTCTCTTTTCCTCTTTTTCCTTTCCTTTCCTTCGCCTCACCTCACTTCTCTTCCCTTCTCTTTCTTTTCCTTCCTTTCTTTTTCTTTCTCTCCTCCCCTTTCTCTCTTTCTCTCCTCCTCTTCCTTCCTTTCCTTCTTCCTTTCCTTCCTTCCTTCTTTCTTTCTTTCCTTCCTTCCTTCCTACAACTTTTTTTCTCTCCCTTTTTCTGTCCTTCCATTCTCTTTTTCTCTCTTTCTCCTTCCCTTTCCTTGCCTTTTTCTTTCTCTCTTTTCCTCTTTTTCCTTTCCTTTGCCTCCACTCACTTCCCTTCTTTTCCCTTCTCTCTCTTCCTTCCTTCCTTTCTTTTTCTTTCTCTCCTCCCCTTTCTCTCTCTCTCTCTCTCTTTCTTTCATTCATTCTTTCTTTCTTTCTTTCTCTCTCCTCCCCTTCCTTCCTTCCTTCCTTCCTTCCTTCCTTCCTTCCTTCCTTCCTTCCTTCCTTCCTTC